GATGAGGTAGGTGGTGTCTCAATATACCGCTCTACTTTGACGTCCTAGACTAATGGATGAACCTTTTGCAGAGGCCATGGAACGTTCACACCTGCGGTACCGGCGACAACAAATATAATAGCGACTGTAGCTGGAACAGTGCTCAAGACCAATAAGCTTCTCTCTGTCTACCCGTTGCGCGCTCGCTACACACCTGAAATCGGCGACTTGGTCGTCGGCCGAATAGTCGAAGTGCAATCAAAGCGATGGAAGGTTGACGTTTCAGCTCCGTTACTCGCACAATTACCTCTATCAGCGATCAACTTGCCCGGTGGAATCCTACGCAAGCGTACAGCTGCAGACGAGCTACAGATTCGCTCGTTCTTCAATGAAGGTGATCTCGTGGTGGCAGAAGTACAAACGGTACATGGAGATGGCGCTGCATCCTTACACACCAGATCGTTGAAATATGGCAAACTACGTAACGGCTTGTTTTTGGCCGTGAGCGGTATGGGTGGTGGTAGCGGAACGGCCAGAGGTACAGGTGTAGTCAGGTCAAGGAGGCAGGTGTGGACTATTGAAACTGCATACGGTGGCCCAATTGATGTCATCCTCGGCGTGAACGGATATATTTGGATTTCCAAACATGTTCGCGACCCTTCGGAAGAAGATAGCAGCGGATTCAAGTCGAAGGTCTCGTTCACGCGACTGGAAGATATGGTTAGCACGTCGATGTATTCGAGTCAGAACGATAATATCCCGCTGGCCACAAGAAAGGAATTTACCAGAATCGCTGGATGTATTCGCGTTCTAGTCGAGGGTGGAGTCAAGGTCGACCAGGAGACGGTTATGAAGGCCTATGAAGCTAGCCTGGCTCTGGATGACGAGGAAGAGGATAGTGACATGGAGGGAGATGACGGCCAGGGCAGTACTCGCAAGGACGGCCGGTATTATCTTGGAGGTGAAAAGGCGAGCAGGCTTATAGCTACTGTCCTGAGCCGGGGCCCCTAATGATTAGTTCCTGGAGACAATTATTTCAAATAGCCATACCAATAATCACAAACATTCTATATGCAGATGCCTAGACATCGACTCGTATCTCGAGGCATATTAAGCAAGCCAAAGCGAAATCGATTGATGATACAGCATAAAATGACAAGCAAGCAAATACTCCTCCCAAAAACCACCCAAAAACTGCGTCTATACCTCCATTTGTCTAATTAATTATAACTGGAAAATAGGCGTGGTGCCCGTCCACTCGCCCTTTGCCCTCTCTTCCCAGTATCCATCCTTGCCAGTACGGAGTTTCCATATATCGTCTCCTCCATCCAGACCATCGACGTCAACGTGTGTAAACCACCTAGGACGCCATGTTTCGCCACTTTGTTCCATCTCTTTTCTGCGGAAACGCTGGGCTTCCTCGAGTCGTGCCTTGATATCTTCCGCTTCGTCGACGTTGCCTTCTTCTAATGCACGTTGATCAGGTCGAAGACGACTATCTGTTTGTGGTAGCTTCCGCTGTTCAACGGCCGTAATTTCATTCAGGGCCACTGCGAATTCAGTCAGGCCGTAGTGTTTTTGTGGCTTGTCGACCAGCGGACCGGCAGCCCATATAGTCTTGTTTGTCAGGTTCCCGTGCTCCGTCAGCTGGAGAGACGAGGTCCAGGTCCCTTGCAGGCCAAGGGGAAGTTCTTCACCATGTGTATCGTAGGCTTTGACTGTGACCTCTTCGCTACGACCAGAGAACATGCCACCGACTTTGAATACGGCGATTGTTTTTTGGCCTGTGGTCTCGTTGAGGACACACATTTCACCGACAGGTTCAACGTACTTCTCGCCAGCAATAATATTACGCAGGAACTGGGTGCCGGCAGACCAGCTGAAATGCTCCCCACTCGAGTGCAGCGTTAGCCTAGATTTGCCTTCTGTAATAATCTCAACGGACTTGCCCCAGAATTTCTGTGTAGGCTTGGGGGATTGGATGAAGCTCCAGTCACGCGAATCTGCCTGCATGGCTAGCTGGACAGGCCTATGAGAGACCTTTTCAGCGATGAAACGGAAACCTCTCTCTGGCAGAACAAGCTCATAAGTCTCGCCTAACATGGGGTTAAAAGGTTTGCGAACAGTCCGCTCCTTGATTCGTGAATTGGAAAATTGCGAGAGGGCGAAGGCAGTTACATATATCAACCGCTCCAGTGCGTCGGTAGCATTGGCTGCCTTGTCAAGAAGCTGGGAATATTCAAACTGCTCTGCCGCTCGTTGAAGCAATGAAATGGGTTCATTGGCAGACACAGGCATTGATATAGTTGATAGATCCTTGCCGATATTCTTCCGCATAAAGCTGATCAAACTTGGTGGCAGGCCAATTGGCGGTTCTATCCTTGATCTGCGGGGCGGTGCATCCATAGGCAAGGGAGCAAGTGACCGTGCTTTCACCGGGAATAGTGAGGATGAGGAGTCAAGTTTGAAGTCACCTCGTAGGAATTCGTCTCTATCATCCACGTCGCTTCCAGACGACGACGCGGCGTCGTCATCAACAGCAGTCACGACGCTCTTTGAGTCTTCTTCGCCACTATCCTGGTGAATTGTTAACAAGGGAGAGACGTTTCCTCCATCCACGGCATCGAAAAACTCCTCTGAATCAGAGTCAGCTGTTACAGAGTGGGCAGGCCGTATTGCTATCGGGGTCCTGGACCGGGTTCTATCGCTTAACAGGGCATTAAACTCGGAGACAACTGCGTTCAGATCATGGAGCAGGATCATCAAGTCATCATGAACGCCAGCTCCAAGTCCAGATTTAAATGAACTGCCGTCGAAATAAGAGCCTTCATTGCTGAGTGGAGGAGTTTGTTGTGGTCCTAGGGGGGATAGAGCCGGCCGTTGGTTTGGAGTGCTGCTGCCACTGTCACTTTTACCCTTGAGTTTCCAAAACGATCGTTTCTCCTTGCTTTCAGAGACATCTCCAGGCTGTGAGACACGACGTACGCCGTTTGCTTGGCTTTGGTTACCCTCATAGTCTGGAGTTGGCATGAGGTATTTTGGGTCTGTATCCTTGGCTAGCTGACGCACTTTCTCTCTCGAAGCAGATACCGATTCAACTAATCGCTCGATAGTTTTCCAATCTTGGGACTTGGGTTTGTTCACGCTATGTTTCCTGGTGATCAACGTAGGCACCTTGAGGCTACCATCTTCTTCCCCTGCTGTATCACCTTGCTTCGAGGCTTTCTCTAGAGCCTCCTTCCAGGCCTGAAAGTCAACGTTATTCAGCGCGCGAAGATGCCATATCTCCACTCCTGAATCGATTGATATCTCTCTAGTATTTTCATTGGTAGCGATAGCGGCCAGAGATAACGGGATGGCACCTCTCAAGGCAGAAGAATTGCGATCGTGGTAGTACGATAGGGTTGATGAGTTGAAGTCCAAGGAAAAGAAGCGCCTGGCATAGCCCTGGTGTCGCTTACGACGTCTCTTTGACAGTATACCAGTGTGTACTGATGGTGCGATGCTTGTAGACGAGTCTGTGGTGGGAAGTGGTCCGTTCGAATTGCCTGCAGCAGCAGCGCCGAACCCTGGCCGTCCGCGCTGTTGAGCCCGAGCCTTTGCTTCCGCCTCTGTCTCAGTCGCGTTGAGTTTCGGACTCGGACGTGAGGGGGCCTGTGATCCGATCGGACCTGCTATGGCCTGAGTGTGATGGACCTGGTGTCCGGATCGTGGCGGGCAGCTGGTAGGATACGTGAGCAGGACGAACGTAACGGTCTTGGAGATCTGCTTAGAGAATGTGTTGTCAAACACAAGTGCGTAGTTCCCTCCCTCGCTGGCGCCCACATCATACGTCCCCTGAGATATCTTGTCGGCCTCACATTTCCCAATCCACTCGATCGGTTTCAGCCCAACACCCTTGAGCTTCTCGGTGATTAAAAGCGAGGAATCCGTCTGTTTGGCGGGGCCGTTATTCTCCTTCGAAAGATCGTTGATATCACTTCCCGTAGTCTGCGAATACGTAGAGGCAGCGCTGTTGACTGCAAGCCCCGAGGCGCCGGGGTGCTTGAAGATTCCGAAATTGAGGGACTTCTTATGTGGCTGGATGCTCCACGATATCGTATGTTCAGCGCTGACGTTTATCCAGCGGACGAGATACGACTGAGACAGACAGGAACATAATAGTAGACGTTAGCCGCTATGGATACATCGACGGAGGGGATATCGTGAATCATCCAGGACTCCCCCTGCTGCAAAGGGGGTGTGCGGCCCTTATTTACCTTGCTGTGTATCTCCAATTCTTCCATGCCCGCCATCTTCGCACAAAAGCAGCCAGCTAGTATGTTATGGGCGACGTAGACTTGGGATCTCTGGTTTCTCGTTCTTATTCACGGGTCAAGCAAGGTCGACAAGCCCGCGGTAGATTATCCGGCCATCCCGGTCGTTGAAATGGACAGGTAAGCAGTTCGTGTTATATATAGTTGGACAGGGATGCGCGCAAGCTAAGCCAGGCTCCAGCGCCCACGTCGAGACTGCTGAGGTAGCCTTGTTGTGTACAGGGACCGGCGTCTGAGGATGCGTCGTATTTGTTTGTTTGTATATCGAGTTGTCTGCTTTGTATCTTTCGTTTGTCTTTTGCCTTTTTGCGTTGTTCCTTTCGATGTTTTGATGTAGCTTTTTGGCGATCGGCGTCTTTTATTTCCTCTTTGGGCCTCGATCATCATGCACAGACCACTTGACTTTAAAGTGGGTCCATGGCTTACTAATAAACCTAAAAGTGACATCTATTCTATCACGTGATGAAGTGATTGGCCGAGTGAACGAGAAGCCATCAAAATACTTAGGTCATTTTTGTAATTATTTATTCAGTAAAAAGCAGAAGAAAGACAAGCATAAAGAGATGTGTAGAAAGACCCAGCCAGATTCCTCTCCGTCGCTATAACTCCGAGCGCGCATGTAAAAGAAAAAGATACAAGGGTAGAAGCAGAAGAAAGATCATGGTGATACAGGTGTGAAAGAGTTGGTAGTTAGCGTATGAAAGCTTAGATCTCGATGTCGATGTCCAAGTCCAGGGCAGCGATGTTGTCCTCGTCTGTCGGCCGGTGACGAATGACAGGGACGCCCTTGTAGACCTTTGGAGTGGCTGGCTTGGACGGAGTAACGCTGCGGGGTGTGGTTCCGTTGGCAGGCGTATTGGTGGCATCGGTGTTGTTACTGGCGGTGGTCGGGGTGATGGCGCGGCTGCGATCAGCAATGGCGGCCTCGGGCTTGACGGGGACGAGATGACCATCCGTGGACTCGTAGTACGTCCTCGCTCTGGTCTTGACACGTGCAAAGCGGTCGGCGACGGCCTCTCCTCGGGCGACGGCTGCGGCGGCTAGTTTTGCTGCCTTACGCTCGGCCAGCTGGGCCTTGCGCACATTCTCGGTGTTGAGCTTCTGGTTGCGCATGTTCAGCTCGGCGAGACGTTCTTGCTGCGTCTTCTCGTTAGGGCGTGGCTTGACCAGTGTGGTGCCAAAGGCGAGCTTGGGGCCAGTCAGGCGGGCGAGCTCAGCATCGCACTCTGCGATGGCTGCCTCATCCTTGTTAGCAATGGCCTCGTTGCGGCGACGCTCAAGCTGGATGCGGTTGTAGATGAGCTGTTTGTTGTCGTTTGTGCCCTGGCGACGAAGCTTCTCCTCGAGCTCCTCTTTAGTGAAGTCGTGCGCCAGCAAGCGGTTGATGTCTGCTACTTTCTTGTCGACAGCGGACTTTGTGGGCATCTTGAGGCCATCCACTGCCATGGTTTTCCGATAGCGGTTAAACTCAGCCTAATAATGTCAGTTTTACCCTCGATGGTATTCTTATTCTCATTGATATATAACCTACCTCAGTGAAGGGGGATTCGGAACAGGCGATAAAGGGGAACTCCTTTTCAGCTTTACCATGGGCCAGAAGGCAGTACTGAGTGGTAACAAAGTTGCGTCCATTCGGACCCTCGATAGCATACGGACGTCCTTNNTGAATTCTAAGCAATATTAGCAAAAGAGTCACGAGCTAAAGACCTCGGAGGGGACATATATGAACATACTCTTGATCAGACCAATTCTGTACTCCGGTTTTCCGGTTGACAGGTTTGGTCCCAAGCTGACTCTGGTGTAGCAGTTGCTGATAGCCTGATCGAAGCCAGGATAGAAACAGACCTGGGCAAAGTTGCTGCGTGCAATTCTGGCACGCTGTAACTCCCGCAGTTCAGCTGGGGGATCGTAACGCGGGGGTGAGACACTCCTGCGTTGGGGTTTATCATCCCACTCGACCTCACTTTCACCACTGGCGTCTCGATCATCTGCCTCTCGAGCAGGAGAGCTGCTGGCGTTGTTATTCTTTCGTGAAGAAGCATCACGCCGACGCTGCTCATCTCGCTTCCCCTTTTGCTCTCTTTGACGCTTGTATGCTTCAATCGCATCTGAGGGCTCACCCACTTTGCGTCCGCCGAGAACCGTCTTCTTGCGTGAGCTCTTGCGCTGGCTGTCCTCCAAATCAGCTGAACCGGCCTTGCGTTTCTTCTTGGCCGCGGCACGGGCTTCCTCTCGCTCTCTGTTGGCTAGCAAACGACGGAGGGCAATGTCCTGGTTATGGCGGTCGACCTGCTGAGCTCGTTCTGATAGCAGTTCCTCTCTCTGGATTTCAGGCAGGGCCATGATTTCACTCTTGTCTTTGGCGGAGTAGAATAGCTTCTCATAAGGGAAGATGGGGCCCTGGTTCTCTTCGGGAGGAGGAGAGGTATCTGACTCTGATTCGGACATGGATGCTGATCGAAGGGAGCGGCGAGAGTGAACGCTTGAAGAGGATCTATATACTCGTTAGCTGACAGTCTGCAGAATCTTTTATTGTATTGTAGGCAGCTGGGCTGAGGGGTATCGTGGTAGAAGGGTACAGCGTGAAAACGCTGACAGTAGAGAGGCCTGTATGATATATCGATTGACCTGCAACAACAGTGAAAAAAAGGAGCTGACTTACAGCTCGCCCTCTTCCTCTTCGTCGTCATATGCTCTGGCTCTCTTGCGTTGGCGCTTGACCGGCCGGGCTACCCCCTTGCGACCCATGTTGTCCGCGTCGTCGTCTTGGTCGTTGGAAGATGAGCTGCCAGGAGAGGCCTGGCGCCCTTTATCTTTGTCCTTCTGCTGCGAGATGGCGGGAGATTCCTCGTCGGAAGAATCATCGCCTCCCGCCAGGGCGAGCAGCTCAGCGTCCAGGTCAGCCATGGCGAAGGCGCGAGTGTTCCTCTTTTTGCTTCCTGTCTTGTGTTCCTTTGTGCCCGTAAGCCGACCGAACGAGGCAGAAGACACGAGAAGTCTTTGGCTAGGCGGAGGATATCCGGGCGTGTGTTGCTGCCTGCTGCTGCTGTGTTGCTGAGGACGCCGGTCAAAGGGCGGTTGTTGAGGTGTTGCGGTGTTGCTAGTTAAGCTGGAGACGCCCGCTGGACTACCACAGAGAGCGGCCTCGTTTCCAGTCTTTTTTTTTTTCCCGCGCGTTTCTTCTGGCGTCCCTCTTGTTATACGCCGACTTCTGCCTGCTGATTGATGGCGATGACCGCTGCTGATGCTACTCTCGCTCGCTCGTTTCGCCTTTTTTGCTTCCTTCTCGTCTTTCTTTTCGCCACGAAAAAAGTTGCAGTTGAAAGGATGGATCACGTGATGAGCTTAGTTTTGACGTCGAGCAAAGCAAAAAAAGCTGGAGAAGAAAAAGCAGAGCAAAACAAGCGAGAAAGACGAGAGGAAAAGGAAGAGGCAGAAGACGAGAGATAGAAGAAGAGACGCTGGAAAGGCAAAAGAGGGCGTAAGACGGCGGACTGGAGGAGAAATGGCTGGGCTGGTGTCCCGCGTGCGGCCGGCGTGCCGGAGGTGTCTGTCGAGCGCGCAGCCAACATACAGGATACAAGCTCGGTACAGCAGCAGCAGCAGCAGCAGCAGCAACAAAGACAACGACAATGGCGGCAGGAAGATGATGGAGCTGAGTGAATCGCAAAAGGCGTACCTGAGCAGCGCCCTCCGAGTCAACCACGCCGGCGAGCTGGCCGCAACCCTCATCTACGCGGCCCAGAGCCCCCCCGTCCTGCGTTCGCACCCTCACCTCCGCCCGCTGATGAAACACATGTACGACCAGGAAGCCGGCCATTTCTCAGTCTTCACCGAGATGCTGGCATCCCACCGCGTGCGCCCAACGGCCATGTACCCCGTCTGGCAGGCCGCAGCCACGTTTCTCGGGTGGTCAACAGGCGTGATGGGCCGGGAGGCGGCCATGGCATGCACGGAAGCCGTAGAGACAGAGATCGGGACGCACTACAACGACCAGATACGGGTTCTGGCAGGCTGGATGGAGGACGCCGAGGCCCGCGGGGAGGTGGTTCCGGACGAGCTGAAGCAGCTGGTGCAGACGTTGAAGCGGATCAGGGACGAGGAGCTGGAGCACCTGGATCATGCGGTCGAGAACGATGCAAAGGAAGCCAGACCATACGAACCGCTTATAGGGGTCATCAGGCTGGGTTGTCGAGCTGCCATTCAGATCTCGCAGCGAGTATAAGCGTCTAAAAAGGATGTAGAATGATGCTATGGGGTTGTAAGATATTATACGGGGAAAAACATGAATGATTTTCTAATTGGCGGCATCAACGGCATGCTTCTTCTCCAGATAGTCTATAAACCCGTTGGACAGCCGGGTGACCATGTCATAGACACGGTCGAAGCCGTCTCTGCCTCCGTAGTAAGGGTCAGGCACCTCCTCGCTCTCCCCTCTGCCGCCGCCGCCGGCCAGCCTGTCGGCGTCAAAGTCTCCAAACATCCTCACCTCGGCGAGCTTCCCCTCCTCCTTGACTCTGCTGCGGGAGTACATCAGCGAGTCGTAGTTCTCCTGGTCCATGGCGATGAGGTAGTCAAACTCGGTGAAGTCGGACGTCCTGACTCGGCGGGCTGCATGTGTGAAGTCCGTGATGCCGTGTTTCTTCAGCGTCGACATCGTCCGCGGGTCCGGAGGGTCGTGAAGATGCGCTGCACATGTCCCCGCAGAGTCCAGCTTCGAGAAGGTCACCGTCTTGCCGTCCCTGCTGCTGGCGATGTGCCTGAAGACGGCTTCGGCCATGGGTGACCGGCCTGTCCTGTCAGTCAAACCGTCCACAATCGACGTAGTTATCGTTGTCCCGCAGATCTGTCACATACAGATGTTCCCCAGGCAGACGAACAGCACCGAAACGTCTGTCATCTTGCTTGTCACACGCTGGCTGTCTCTGTAGATGTCTTTCTTGTCGCCGTCTCTACCTGGCCAGCAACCACCTGTCAACGAAACATCAGCCATCCGCCTGCTGCCATCTTCCCCCCAGAGTCACTCACTCACCGGCTACTACCTGCTCGCTATCTGCTTATCTTCGTACCAAGAACCTAGACGACGACCCGGTGTCTGGTAGGTATATAATTAGATCCTGCGCCACAAGCTGCGCGTTGCTTGGTCGACCAGCAAACTTGGCGCAGCCGAAGGCTTTTTTGCGCTGTGGGAGCCAGAAAACGCAGTGAAGACGCCGAAAGCAACGCAGAAACGCAGACGCAGACGCAGAACAGCCACTGCGACCGCGAGATAGACGAAGAGCAAGCCTCGCGCTCGCTTACTATCGTTTCTAGTCCCTCGTTAAATAGATCTTCTCTTCTCTTCTCCTCTCCTCTCTGAGCTGTCTGCTTTGTTCTTGTTAAACTAGCTACATCTGCACCACCGGCAAAAAATGGCCTACAACCGGCTTCACGGTGAGCTCCCTTGCCCCAAATCCCTGAACAAAGTCGTCGCAAGCTGTTTCGCGCAAGCTTGGTGCTTCGTATTTAACGGCCTGCGATCTTCCCTTCGTCGTTTTGTTCGTCCTTCGTTCGTCCTCTCTGACATGATTTCCAGAGCCCGAGCAGGAGCCGCTGTCGCCCTCGATGAATCCTCACCAGCCCGCGTCGCCGTCGAGGCGTTACCAGGGCGGATACCAGCTCGAAGACAACCCCTTTCATCAGCCGGTGCAGCAGCCCATGACACATCTGGAGATGCCCTCGGCGGATAGACTGCAGTACCAGCCTACCGTGAGTTTGTTTTCGTGTGCCGGTTTTGATCATGGTTGTTGGCTCGTGATGTTGACATTGCTGCTCTATATAGTACTCCGTTGAAAACATACAAAACTCATACGGCCACAACGAAGCCTACGAAGAGCAGCATCCATACAGACCGTCTCCCAGGCCGGTTGCTGCAGGTACGGGTCCCCTGGCCCTGTCCCCGGAGGCCCATCATGATGCCTACTATACACAGCCGTACGAGCCCGCAGCCACTCCCCCAGACGACTACGACAGGCAGCACCAGAGCTATCCTCCCAGACAGTACGACGACCATGTGCCTATACTGCACCATGAGCCCTCATACACACCGAGCAACTTCGATCTCTCGCATACACCTCACCCGGTGGACACAGATGGCTACACAGACGACCCTAACATGGCACTGAACGTGGCTCCCACGCCCAGTCCGGCGCCCATCAGACGGTGGAAGACCGTTCGAGAGGTCCAGCTGTTCAACGGCAACCTTGTCCTCGACTGTCCCATCCCACCAAAGCTTCTCAGCCAGATAAACCATGCCGAACCCCCGGAGAGAGACGAGTTCACTCATATGCGCTACTCGGCTGCTACCTGCGACCCGGCAGACTTCTACCAAGAGCGGTTCACACTGCGGCAGCGGCTGTTTGCCAAACCACGACACACCGAATTGTTCATTGTTGTCACTATGTACAACGAAGACGAGTTCCTCTTCGCCCGAACAATGGCCGGTGTCTTCAAGAACATCGAGTACATGTGCTCGCGCACCAGCAGCAAGACATGGGGCAAAGAAGCCTGGAAGAAGATTGTCGTTTGTATCGTCTCAGACGGTCGTGCAAAGATAAATCCACGCACAAGAGCTGTCCTTGCCGGTCTCGGTGTTTACCAAGACGGCATTGCCAAGCAGCAGGTTAACGGCAAAGACGTCACTGCTCACATCTACGAATATACCACCCAGATAGGCATGGAGGTCAAGGGAACCCAGGTCATTCTCAAGCCGCGGCCGGGAATGCCGGTCCAGCTCCTCTTCTGTCTCAAAGAGAAGAACCAGAAGAAGATCAACTCTCACAGATGGTTCTTCCAAGCCTTTGGTCGTGTCCTCGACCCAAATATCTGTGTTCTTATCGACGCTGGAACAAAACCAGGCGGGCGAAGTATATACCAGCTCTGGCGTGCTTTTGACCTCGAGCCCATGTGCGGTGGTGCCTGCGGTGAAATCAAGGTCATGTTGTCCCATGGCAAGAAACTGTTTAACCCGCTCGTTGCCGGTCAAAACTTTGAGTACAAGATGTCCAATATCCTCGACAAGCCACTCGAGTCTGCCTTTGGCTTTATTTCTGTCCTTCCCGGTGCCTTCTCCGCGTACCGATATGTTGCGCTACAGAATGACAAGAACGGCCAGGGGCCACTGGAGAAATACTTTGCCGGTGAGAAGATGCATGGCGCCAATGCAGGCGTCTTCACTGCAAACATGTACCTCGCCGAAGACCGAATATTATGTTTCGAGCTCGTCACCAAGCGTAACTGCCAGTGGATCCTGCAGTACGTCAAGAGTGCAACTGGTGAGACTGATGTGCCGGATCGTATGCCCGAGTTCATCCTGCAGCGAAGACGTTGGCTTAACGGCAGTTTCTTTGCTGCTGTGTATGCTATCCTGCACTTCTACCAGGTCGGCAGGAGTAATCACTCTTTCACTCGCAAACTCATGCTCATCATTGAATTCATATGCCAAACTATCAACCTCCTATTCGCTTGGTTTGCAATCGTATGTGTTCTTTTTTTTTTAATTGACCTGATAAATCATTTGCTAACTGGTCTTCCTAGGGCAACTTCTTCCTGGTCTTCCGTATCCTCACTGCTTCTCTAGGTACTCCCGACCTCCTAGGTAAAGCAGGCAGTATCCTCGGTGTTATCTTCGAATGGCTGTATCTCGCTACGCTTGTGACATGCTTCGTCCTTGCGCTGGGTAATAGGCCGCAGGGTTCAAACAAGTTCTACATGACCATGGTCGGTTTCTGGTGCATGATCATGATATACCTCACCTTTGCAGCCATTTTCGTCACCGTCAAGTCAATACAGAACGAGGCTCGTGAAGGGAAATTCACCTTCGCTACACTGTTCCAAAACCTGCAGTTCTTCTCCATCTTCGTCTCTTTGCTGACTACCTATGTCTTTTGGTTCCTGGCCTCCATCCTCTTCTTCGATCCATGGCATATGTTCACTTGCGTAAGTCTCTTTCCCCCACCTTTTACTACAGATGGGAGACTCGACTAATACAAATTAGTTCCTACAATATCTCCTCCTCACGCCAACATATATCAATGTCCTCAATATCTACGCCTTCTGTAACACCCATGACATTACGTGGGGTACCAAGGGAGACGATAAACCTGAAAAACTGCCCTCAGCACACCTTAAACCAGGTGGCAAAGTTGATGTTGAAATCCCTCAGGATGATGGAGATCTTAACGCCCAGTACGAAGCTGAGCTCGCAAAGTTCGCCAGCAAACCACCCAAGGAGACGCGTGTTGTCTCTGAATCTGAGAAACAAGAAGACTACTACAAGGGTTTCAGAAGTGCTGTCGTCCTCGCTTGGATCTTCTGTAACTTTGCGCTTGGTGCCGTGGTCTTGAGTGCCGCCGGCCTAGAGAGAGTCGACGCAAACAGCAAAGATAACTCCCAGAAAAGGAGCATTATCTACATGGCCGTCGTATTATGGAGTGTTGCAGGCCTATCCTTGTTCAGATTCGTCGGTGCAATGTGGTTTTTGGTCGTTAGAATGGTATGTCCCGCTTACCCCCTTTTCACTCGTGTCAGTTTCAATACTAACTATTTCTATAGTTCCGCGGAGTATAGACATAGACTATCTCCCTTTTACTTGACTTCTATTCCTCTTTGTATATTTTCCCCCACTTTCCACCGATGTATGCCAGGTGGTATGTTAACGGCTTCATGTACTCGATATACCACGCCTGATGATATACGTAAGAAACGTAATTCTGCATTTTTCCCTGTTCCGTTTCCTATCTTCTGCCTCGTCATTTTACGCCCCTTGTTTTGCGGGAACGCATGTATATAATTGCATGTATGTATGGATATGGATATGGATAGGGGGGCTCGAAGGGTTCTGTTTGTTTTTTGTCGCTTTTTCCCGGGATTGCATGGAGTCCGACTTGACGTCTTCATGTAACATATAGACATGATAAACCATGAATACAGTACGATGTTCTTCTGTCGGTGTTAGTTATGTGTAGTGTTCTGATTGTTGGAATGCATTTTATTGTTGCAGTCACAGCAGGCATCGGGGTAAGAGCGTCTGAGATTCAGGGGGAAGCTCTCATTGACACACGCGACCAAAACATTTCACGCAAACACAATGCATCCATCGACAACTCCTTGGATAATTTCAGCTTAATTAAAGAATGGCGTCGTGTTATGGCTATCTATTCTTCTTATGGCTGACGAGTATTGTTTCTATGGTGTTCGCTGGTGGTAAGCCATTCAACCACAAACTATGTATACATACTGACCAGATAAACGTTGAAGAAAACGCAGGCCGTTTAGTTCCCCTCACACAGATCAAAAAATATGTTGCCCTGGGAGATTCATATGCAGCTGGAGTAGGTGCAGGCCCTGAAATCAGCAGTGAATGCTGGCAGTTTGCCGACAGCTATCCAGGCTTGTTGAACCGGAGCAGCTTGCTTCCAGAGGCCCATGAATTCCAGTTCCTAGCATGCTCAGGAGTCAGGATGCTGGGTTTAGACACATACACGAACCGTGCTGAACGAAAGCTGCACAGATCAGTGGCAGAATATATTGAGAAAGTCGAGAATGCAAGCGTTGCAACTTTATCTATTGGTGGAAACGATGTTGGTTTCTTCAACCTCCTCAATGCCTGCATCTATAACTTCTACGGCCCATTTTCGGGCTCGTGCGAGGATAGATTAGACTTTGCCAGTGCAGTTATAGCCAGCAGCCAGTTTGCCGATGGATACAACGCAATGCTAGACTTACTGGTAGAAAAGGGTGACTCCCCATCTTTTAGAGTCCTTGCAACAGGATATAGTGCCTTTTTCGACGATGCACTGACAAAAGATTGCAACGAACACACCTTGAGCTACTGGCCTGGCTGATGGCACCAGTATCTCTCGGTCGAGCTGAGGAAGAGAATCAATGATATTTCCAATCAGCTGAATGACAGAATTGGTCAGATCATCAAGGCTCGATCAGATGACAGAGTGATATGGGTTAACCGGGCGCCGCGATTTGTCAAACATCGTTTCTGCCAGCCAGGAAAGCCGCCTGTCAATGGGGAAGACACCTGGTTTTTCGATGTCGGTTTTCGAAGCTTTGTCCCTGATGACGAGGTTGATATTGAGACCTGCGAGCATGAGTCAAATCTCTCCGGTGACTGGGGTGAGAGAGCGCTGTGCGGAATGGCAATTGTCAAAGCAAAGTTTCCTGAGGCAACGATGCGTGGCTTCAACGACAGTATAGATGCCAATGGTGGTCGGGAACCCTTTGCGCCGAGCACTGCACGACTGTTCCACCCCACGTTACGCGGGCACCAGGCTATTCTGGAGGAGATACGTCGTGTTTGGCCGTATTATTAAGAGTACCTGCAGGTATTACTCAAACAGTTGTCGGTGATATGGCGAGCTGTGCTTTTGAAGAAGTGAAATCTGGTATATTCTTAAAGAATCATGAATAGACCAGTCTGGGTCTTATCTATAACGAAGGATTGCGGTTGTGTATTCATACTCGTTTGTACAGGCAAGGGAGGGGTCCGCCATCCTACCTAGCCATTCTTCATACTTTCAGCAAGACGATAAGGGAATGTAAGTCGCTTAAGATACGTTATAAATGCCTCGGGTATTGAAACTCCCGAAGAAAAGAAAATAAGAGGCTGTATAAATCAGAGTTTGGACTGCACACATAGAGCAATTCCACCAAGGACCAAAATCATCCCTAACCAAGTTTCTACAATTTATAATTAGTTGAAATATTCAGGCATTCTATTGTAATACTCACCTTTTGATATAACTTTGCCTTCAACGTACCACTCCCCCAGGACTGTAAACAAGAATGCAGCTGAATTCGTTATTGGGACTGTAAGACTGAGTTCTATCGACCACAATGTTAGAAAGCTGCTTTGCAAATATACAACAGTTAAAGAAAGATCCAAGAGTGAATACCATGTTTTCCAACCAGTAAGAAGAACCACACACTCCCCGTCAAGTTAATCAATAAAGGAACCGAATATGCCGGAGTGCGCAGGAGATTCACTACCGTCCAGAATACAGAGACAATTTTCTCCTTTATCCATGGAACCGAGAGGAACGATTGCCCGCCGTGTCTCGTATCAGGCTGGTTAACATTCTGTTTAGCTTCGTTCCTCGCATTGAAATCGACTGCCGCGCGGCGGATAAAGGGTGTTGTAAATCCCCATGCTAAGCCGACTAACAGGAAGCTCAGAAGGTAATTGAGCACACCAGGCTGTTCTGTGGGTGGAGGGGTATCTGGGTCCATTTTCTGTTGTGCAACTCCAAGGATTCCCGTGGTATGCGAAGGAGGGTGACGGCGTTAAAGGTTCCCCAGAAATATGGGAGGTTGTTCCTTCCACGTGATTCAGGAACTATTTAAAGTTTAGGCTTATTAATAAAGTACAGGTGCTATCTAAAAATAGACTACTACGCAGAAGGAGATCATACTTGTATATAATTTCTATACTATCTTCCGAGTTGATACGGTATATTGGTTTCCGAGTGCCAAATTCTGACTTTTTCTGCTACAGGATAACTAAGATGGGCAAAAGCACTGGGGATTCTTGATCAATCTCAACTGAGTGCACAGCCACGATGAATTCTTGGCACATCTGATTAGTAACAAACATAATATTTCGCTTAGTCATATCCGCAACCTTGTTTTCCCTCGGGTGGACTTCAACCATCACAACTTGAACTCCTCAAGTGCTGGAGGAGCAGTTTCTGGGTCAGCTCCAGGCTTCTGAACGGCAAAACCAACGGCTCTCAGTGCTATAGTCCCTGCAGGCGAAATAACTGTATACTATACACCTTTTCTCTATTTTTACTTGTACTAACACGTTGACCGAGGTAATAACAAGCAAACGGTCCTCGCGAACTCTTATCATTCAAGCGTCCACGTAAGGTCCAGCCGCCCTGGATACGTTAGACCCCATGAACGACACTCGTCGCTGAAATCGACAAGACCGACATTGTATTTCTTCCAGTTATTCCAGACCTCTAGCTCTGCTTTGTCTTCAATACCGTGGACCACACTGAGCCCTACTCATTCAACTCGCCCAGGCCACGAGGAGAAATGCGGAGTAGGATGCGCATCCGGCACTTTGCAAGCCAGAACTGGCAGACGTTCCGGGAACGTCCGCTTGCAGAGATCTCCGGAGCGGTTGGGGATCTCGGAACCTTTCTGCCTATCCTAATCGCGTTGACAATAAACGACTCAATCTCACTACCGAGTACATTAGTATTTTCAGGAATATGGAATATTCTTACGGGCCTATTTTTTGGTATTCCGCTGCCCGTCCAGCCGATGAAGGCCATCGCAGCTGTGGCGATCGCGGGGAAATACACTGCCGGCCAGGTTGCTGCAGCTGGACTGTTCGTGGCTATCTGCATCTTACTCTTTAGTGTGACGGGAGCTCTGCGCTGGTTTTCTGGGGTAGTGCCTATCCCAGTTGTTAAGGGGATAGAAGTTGGAGCTGGCTTATCGCTCGTTGTATCCGCCGGTGTTACGCTGAAGGGCTCGCTGTCGTGGATTCAACCATCATGGGCGGACAATTATATCTGGATGATTGCTGCCTTTGTTGGCCTGGTAATAACTAATGTCTACCGGCGCATTCCCTATGGACTAACTGTGTTTATTCTGGGGCTGGTATTTGCCATTATACGACTAGCTGTGTCGGAAGGTGGTATCCTACCTGGTTTCCGTTTCTGGAGGCCGTGGCTTACTGTACCGAGCCTACTGGATTGGAATACTGGTATCCTTGACGCTGGAGTTGGTCAAGTACCGCTTACAACACTAAACTCTGTCATTGCTGTGGTGCATCTTGCAGCCGACCTGCTACCAGACATTCAGACTCCGACGGTCACAGAGATTGGACTAAGCGTAGCTGCCATGAACCTAATTGGCATCTGGTTTGGCTCCATGCCAGTATATCATGGATCTGGTGGTCTTGCAGCCCAATATCGATTTGGAGCTCGATCTGGGGCCAGTGTCATTTTTCTAGGGTTTGTCAAGGTAGTGGTCGGTTTGCTGTTTGGCAACACCATTGTCGACCTACTGGCGAAATTTCCCGTAGCACTTTTGAGTGTGATGGTGATTGCAGCAGGGCTTGAGCTAGCCAGTGTGGGCGAGTCGCTGAACACGTCTTCAGCCTGGGACCTGCGCTCGCAAGAAGACAGAGGCATTCTGACTGGACCTATCTCTGGAGCCTCCCTAGATACTGATGAACGGAAGAAGAGATGGACCGTGATGATTGTTACCATCGGAGTGCTGGTCGCGTTTAAAAATGATGGGCTGGGCTTTGTAGCCGGTATGCTATGTCACTGGACTTATGGTATCCCAGCTCTCGTCGACCGGCTGCAGTCTAGATTTTCCCGTGGAAGAGTCAGACTGCCAACCGACAGCTGAACATGTAACCCAAGTGGATATACCTCAACTGCTGCCCAAACGTCTGTGCCTATATGTCAGAAAGGCCTGGATGTTGATATTAACACGAAGTTGAAACATCCGCGAGGCTGAGCATTAAACGCGCGCTTTTCCCTTTACGGTCAAAGATATGGCACTAGACCTGTTTAGGCCATTTATTGGAGATTTCGCCAAGACTTCCCCTATTCCAAGCGCCTTTTGATGCAACGAAGGAGTCGATGATTTGGTAGATTTTATGGGTTCCTTTGGCTTCGGGCGGCTGATGATACCGATTTTGATGTTGGTGGGGCGCAAGCAGGGCATGTTCAGCTGGCGCTGCACCGAAGATCATCCTTCGGGCCGCTGTACATAAATGGCTGGTCGAGACTCCCCGGTTGCTGGATTCCTTCCAACAATCTACTACTATCTCTACCACTGCCCATACTATTATACTGCAACTATCGCGTTAATAGTATACTTGTCTCTGCTTGATTTCCACACCCTCATTATACCTAACTCTATACACATACATCGCTATGGCCGACGGGGTTCACTTAAAAGTTGACGCGAAGAAGGACAAGAAGACCCGGACGTATAGGATTACCTGCGGTGATAACCCTATCCCCATGTACACGGCCGAGATAAATAAAAAGTCGAAGCCCCATGCCAAAGTGATCAAACACAGTGTGCCGTTTAACGGTCACCCGCCACCGCCGCCTCCCATGCAATTCCAGCAGCCTCCACCGTATGGCTTCCCACCACCGCCGCATTTTAACCAGCCCTATAACCAGCCATATCCCCAACCATACAGTCAAACATATAATCAACCATACCATCAACCTTACAATCAACCCTACAATCAAGCTTATCATCCGCCACCTCAGCAGCAGAACCAATCCTACTTCCAAAGTTTCAACAACTACCAACTTCCACCGGGTCAAATTGTCGGTACAATCACATTTCACGACCTTTCTTCTAAAATAGACGTCTCAATCAATGGATGTGATACATCAATGAAACGCCCTGATCCCCTGGCCTCCGGGCGCAAATTTCATACTCGTAGCATGGGAAAGCTGCAATGGAAGGAAGATGGGTTGTTCAGCAGCAAACAGAAGCTAGTGGATGAGAAACGCAACGTGATTGCAAAGTATGACAAGGGCAATGAGGAAATTATTGTCTTACTGCCACCAAGTCAAATTGACCAGCATCTTGATATGATTGTTGTCACTGGTATTGGAATTATTGAGGCTGAAAGGAAGTCGGACAGCGATGGAGAAGCTGTTGAGGGCATACTTGATGTTATCGGAGGTTGAAATGGCTGTTATTCTATTAGTTCTCTCATTATTCCTTCTGTTGTCGCATTCCACTCTTCATTTTTTTGCATACTTCCAAGGCGTTACTTTCCATTGTTCTCTATCGGACTTACTCCGCTTAATGATCAATTTTATGTTTACGTTTTTCCACTTTAGGCATAGCGCCGGAGTCCCCCGCAGTTGTTGAGCCTCGGCCAGGAGCGGTGGAGAGATCGAAGTGCATATAAATCGACGTCGAGATCCTGTCAATTATTCGTGCCAGCTTCAATATACAGAGCGCAAAGGAGACAGCCATGGCTAATACAGTTGATGTTCCTGGCTTGACGGCCGAACAGGCCACTTTTTTCCATGATAATGGCTTCCTCGTGATCCCCGACTTCTTGGACAAAGACCAAGTCAACTCCTTGCTCGATACTACAAACGAACTACTAGAGAACTTTGACATCAATACCCATCCTCTCACCCGCTTTACTACGGGAGATGATCCCTCGTCAAAATCTCAGCATGTTGGAGATGAATATTTCCTTACATCCAACGACAAGATCCGGTTCTTTTTCGAGCCCGGCGCATTCAGTCCCTCTGACCCGTCCAAGCTACTACAGCCTAAAAACCGCTCGGTGAACAAGATAGGACACTCGATACATTCTCTGTCCAAACCTTTCTCAGATGCAACTCACACCGGCCCGGTAGGAGCTCGGAATGCAGCAATAGCCAAGGATTTGGGGTTTCGTGACCCTCGAGTGCTCCAGAGCATGGTCATTTGCAAGCAGCCAGGTATTGGCGCTCCGGTACCCAGCCACAAGGATTCAGAATTCTTATATACGGATCCACCATCTGCTGTTGGATGGTGGATTGCGCTGCAAGATGCTAACATGGAGAATGGAACTCTTGGATTCTGGAAGGGTAGTCACAAGACGGGCAGGATTAGGAAAAGATTCGTGAGGTCAAATGCGGGTTCCCAAGATGCCGGAGGGACTGACTTTGTGGCGTGGGATGGACCGAACTTGCCTGCTGCCATTGATGAGGAGAGTAAAGGGAAGGAAGATTATGTACCTGATGCGTCGGATTATGAACTCGTGGAGATCAAGGCTGGCTCTCTCGTGTTGATTCATGGGAACGTTCTGCATAAGAGTGAGAATAACCCAAGTGACAAGTCAAGGTTTGCGTATGCTTTCCACGTCATAGAGGGGGCTGAAGGATGGAAGTATGATGAGAGAAATTGGCTTCAGCCCCCGTCCGGGGGTTTTACAAGGTTATTCGGGAACCATTAAAGGCTGAGCACTAGTTAAGAACTTTTGTACCCCTTAAATCATATCAACAAACTCCTTACATGAATAACAATATCATAATGCAACGCCAAACAGCCAGGGTGTATCACCAATGTATAAATCCAGGATATGAATATAGACTCGCAAGGCGGAACGAGGATTGACAGGGTCATACTTTCAGCATATCTAGCATCCCCCGTGTCTGCCACGCTTGTTGAGCTCGATCAACCTCTTCCTCGACTCGCCGATGCAGCTTACGTACCATGTTATCGATATGCACTGACTGGCCAAGATTTCCGGAGTAGATATCCAGAATATTCATAGAAACTTCAACAGTTAAATCAACAAGCCGTGGGTCGGGGATGGCTTTGTATACCCATTTCAGTATAGGTTGTAGCGACGTTTCGTCTCGGTTAGACAGAGCGGTCCGTAATGCAGAACGATGCCGAAGGGCAGTGAGTAGTGTGATAATGGTGATCTTATCTCCTCCCTCAAGGACCTTGTCTAACGAGCTGCTATACCTGCCCTTCCGTAGATCATTCTCCCATGCACTCTCCCGCTTGCGCCTTTTCTTTCCCCCTTGTTCGGGATCGATGACGATATCAATTCCGTCACCAGCAAAGTCCATTCCACGTAGCCGTTTCTCCCAACCTTTACCTTTACCCTTTAGCCTGTTCTTCTTTGCAACTTCGCGGTCATGCTCTTCTAGTTTCCCTTCGAGTAATGCTTTCATCTCTCGTTCTCGCTCCCGTTCACGGGCTTTTTGCTCTCCAGACAGTCGGGTGCGGATTGAAAGGACACCGGATTGCATGCCTACTGCGATATGTTTATCCTCTCTCTGAGGACCAGAGCTGATTACTCCCAGGGAGAGAATGGGGGATGGATATTTAGTTCCACCAACAACGTTCCAGCCAGTCGTCTCAAAGACTTTCATGTGGCCGTCGAGGGAACCGCTGACAACTCTACTTCCTTGTGAGGCCACTGACAAGCAAGTGACTGTCTTCTGATGGCTGCTGATCATGTGTAGTGGCTTCCCAGCCACTACGTCCAGGACAGCAATCTGATTGTCCGCAGAGGTAAGGACCGTCGTACCGAGAGGCATAGGCAGCACGCTCTCTATCGGCGCAGGCATCTTGAACGTCATCACTGCCCGGCCTTCTGCTCGAGTATCCCATAGCCTAACCGTCTGGTCATAGCTGCCGGAAATAACCAAGTTCGATGACTGGGCGCCGGGCATAAATGTGCCGCTTCGGACATAATCTGAATGTCCCGCAAAGCTCCTAACGCTCATTTCAGTAGGTAGATCCCATAGTCGAACAGTCCGGTCATCACTGGCAGTCAACAAATCCGTAGCACAGGACGGCGAAAACTTCGCTACCCATGTTGGTTGCTTATGTTCCTTCCATGTCCGCAATATCGACCGGGAATTGATATCGAAAACCTGTACGGCTCCAGTCTCGTCTCCAGCGACCAGGACACGGCCGTCAAACCGTACGTCCGAACATCGTGTGTTATCATCAAACCGAGTAATAGTTTTGAGCAGTTTTCTTGTTCTGATGGAGTAGATCTGGACCCGCGCACCCGTTGTTACAGTGAAAATATCTGGCGGTTGGATAGCGGCGGCCGATGACGAGGACGTGGGCGCAAGTGGCTGGGATATGTGTGTTATCGGCGTGTTGGAGGGAGATGACAGAAGCAGAAGGGACTTGAAAGATCGCCAGTATAGCTGCTCCGGAGTGAGTCGGGTGGTGGGAGTGGTGGGTAGCTTCACCTGCGGCAGGGGCAGGACTGGCGCAGCCATTGCAGCGAATAAAGCCGCGTATAGCTCAATTGATAAGCGGTGTATCGGATATGGACGCAGAAATCTATTCCTCCATGCCCTGAGCTTCCGTCCTTCACTGTTACCTGTTCGTCTCCGCCCGCTTCTCGACTGTTTCTTTCTTCTCCTCCACGGGTCTTCCGCCTTCTAGGTCGTTTTTTACTCTTGCGGAAAAAATAATTTTTTATATCGGACTCCGGCGCTATGTTTACCCGCAGATCTCTTACTAAGCAATAACGTGACCGTAGGGCTGAAGTGGGTCCCACACGTGATCCGTCCCAGCCACCCAAAAGGGGAAAGAACCTGATTGGTCGCGCCTTCCACCAGCCACCATCTTTTTTTAAACTTTAGCTTAGTCATCTTGTGTACTGCCCAAAAGTTTGCTTTTTCTTGCAGGCCAAAAAGCAAGAAAGGGACGAAAGCGGAAGAAAACAACGTCTGCTCTTCTTCTCTACCAACTTGTACACACTCTCTCTGGTTGGATACAGGCTATTCTTCACTCTTTTTGTCTTGCTTTTGCTTATCTGCCGTGCATCTTGTCCCTAGCTGGCGGCACAGTTATACTCTGGAGCCATCCAATCTATATATGCTGCTAGATAATGCCCTAGGCAAGGAAGCTGTTGTGGTACGTCACCTAGCCGACCCTTGTCCATTGATATTCTTGCGTACCCTAACCAGGCTATGCTCTTCCTCTGCCGTTATTATATTATGTTCCTTGTTATTGAACGTTTCTGCCTCTGGAAAACTCCCTCTTCCTTGTTTTTTTTGTTGTTGTTTTGCTTTCTGGGAGGGGATGATCTGCTGACCATGTCATAGCCCTCGTTTTTAACCGACAACATTCAACTCCGCCCAGCATGTTAACAACTGCGACGAAATTGGCCCTGGGCCAGCATACCGCGGGGATATACGCCGACATGTCTATTGACGGGCCCGAAATTGGCACGCTGGTCGCCGTTATCGACCGCGCGAAGAACCTACCGAACAGGAAGACCATGGGGAAGCAGAATCCCTACTGTGCTGCGCGGCTGGGGAAAGAGGCGAAAAAGACAGAGACGGATATGAGAGGCGGGCAGACTCCCAAATGGTATGAGCAGAAGCCACGGTCCACTCTCGACTACAAAGGTGGAAAGCTGCATTTTCTTGTATAGATGCTAATCGCACGGTATAGGGACCAAGAACTGCGATTCACCGTTCACTCCTCGCCCGATTATTACCAGCTGAAGCTCTCTGTCTTCAATGATGACAAAAAGACAGACCTTATTGGAGAAACCTGGGTGGATCTCAAGAACGTTATCGTACCCGGTGGCGGGCAGAACGACTTGTGGCACAATTTGCAGTGCAAGGGAAAATATGCGGGCGAATTGAGAATGGAGCTGACGTACTACGACACTCGGCCCAAGGACGAAGCAGTCATTGAGCGAAGAAAGGAGGCTGCTGCTGCCGAGAAAGCTGAGAGGAAGGGCATACCTGCCCCACAGAAGCCTCAGCCTAGCTCTAGGAGAACCAAAGGGCCTAGGCGGAGACCATTGCCAGTTGATCCCACCGGCTCGGCCCCCTCACCGTCCCATCAGTCGCCTAAACCAGCAGTTCAGCCAGGTCATCCCGCACAGCCTGGCCACAGTGTCCCCATTAGGCCTCAACAGATACCTAGCAACATACCCCATGCCAGCCAGGCTCAGCCTGTGCCAGTACAGCATGCTGTCGTCCCCAGCGCTGCTCGACATTATGAGACGCCAGATGACCTGCATCGGCAATGGGAGGAACCTGCCCCTACGCAACCTCAACCAGCTTATCAACACAATCATCCTCATCAGCCTCAGCAACACTACCATGGTGATTATGAGAATGCATACTCCCAGCCAGAAGTTTCTCAACCGCCTGTGCAGCATCAAGCTCCAGCTCCAGCTCCTTCCGTGTCAGCATCAAGTAACCATTCATACGGCAACCCACAAGCCGACTATTACCGTGAGCCTGAGCGCCTAGAGTCTCATCAGAGCCACCATGGCCAGCATATGGAGGGCCATTATTCCCAAGCTGTTGTTCCTACGAGTCACCACAGAGGCCCATACGAGACACCGCCAAGGAAGACTGTTCGTCAATCGGTTGGCTCGGACCCTCGACCAAGTAGTCAGCATTCTCATCCCCCAGTTTCCAGGGGATCTACACATGGTACTCCGGACGGATATCACCATCATCGTCCTTCTCCCGAGCCTCACCAGCTACAGCTCACACAAAGCCCCGCCAACCACTCTGGTGCTCATCATCACTACAGCTCTTCAATGCCTAGAAATGACGTGTTTCAGGAGAGTCCCTTGAGAAATTCCATGAGACAGCTGGAGTACCATCCGGCTAACAGTCACGGCTATACAGGCCATGGTTATGGCCATATGCAGCCACAAGTTCATGAAGCAGATGAAGAGCACGACCTTCCACCGCCACCCCCAATCCACCGTGACGGGCTTGGGAGGCAACCGAGTCCAGCACAGCTGGGGCCAACTCAAGCTATGGATCTCCAATTAGCACATCGCTCTCAGTCGATCCCAGCTCTGCAACAGCTCAGTATCGGTGATTCTAGAAATTCCCATCGATCAACTGGAGAAATGCATCAAGAATATGTTGCTTATTCTCCTCACGCCGCCGCCAACAGAAGGTACAGTACTTCGCCGATTCCAAATGAGCAGACCTATTCCACCTCTCCAACACCATCATATCATTCCATTGCTCAACCCCAGGAGTCGGCACTAGTTTCAGAACGACCAACCACCTCTTGCGGTGAATCGATTCCATCCTCTCTCATTGCCGGCGTTGAGCAACAAAATTCAAGCTCGGATCTTATTGTTGCCCGGCGCCGGAGCGATATCTCGATGCACTTAAGCCATATCAACGACCATCCGACCCAAACGACAGCAGACAACAGAGTTTCCCGACGACAGAGCCATGTTCCACCTCAGCAAACGCCAAATCGTGCATCTCCCTCACCCGTACCAGAGCGCAAATCCGTCTCGCCTGACCCTCGACAAGTTCCCGCCCGCAAATCTTTGAGCCCACAGCCACCCCCGGTTGCTAACCCAGATTCCCTTCAGGGGGTACCGTTTGGTCCAGATTCATACGACACGCTGAATCCCAATGCTTCTCTCTCTTCGGCTTTAATACAGCCTGCATCACCGTACGAAACTCCGGAGGA